CCCCTCCCTATGACCACGTCTCAGGGGCGGAAAATGGCCGTGGACCACGTGTCACGGGCGGAAAAATGGCTGCGGACCACGTGTCACGGGCGGAAAAATGGCTGCGGACCACGTGTCACGGGCGGAAAAATGGCCGCGGACCACGTGTCAGGGCAGAAAATGGCCGCAGACCACGTGTCACGGGCAGAAAAATGGCTGCGGACCACGTGTCAGGGCAGAAAATGGCCGCGGACCACGTGTCACGGGCAGAAAAATGGCCGCGGACCACGTATCACGGGTGGAAAAATGGCCGCAGACCACGTGTCACGGGAGGGAAAATGGCCGAGGACCACATGTCACGGGCATAAAAATGGCTGCGGACCACGTGTCACGGGCGGAAAAATGGCCGCGGACCACGTGTCACGGGCGGAAAAATGGCCGCGGACCACGTGTCACAGGTGGAAAAATGGCTGCGGACCACGTGTCAAGGCGGAAAATGGCCACGGGCCACGTGTCACGGGCGGAAAAATGGCCGCAGACCACGTGTCACGGGAGGGAAAATGGCCGCAGACCACGTGTCACGGGCAGAAAAATGGCGGCGGCCCACGTGTCAAGCGGGAAAATGGCCACGGGCCACGTGTCACGGGCGGAAAAAGGGCCGCGGACCACGTGTCACGGGCGGAAAAAGGGCCGCGGACCACGTGTCACGGGCGGAAAAAGGGCCGCGGACCACGTGTCACGGGCGGAAAAAGGGCCGCGGACCACGTGTCACGGGCGGAAAAAGGGCCGCGGACCACGTGTCACGGGCGGAAAAAGGGCCGCGGACCACGTGTCACGGGAGGGAAAATGGCCGCAGACCACGTGTCACGGGCAGAAAAATGGCTGCGGACCACGTGTCAAGGCGGAAAATGGCCACGGGCCACGTGTCACGGGAGGGAAAATGGCCGCAGACCACGTGTCACGGGCAGAAAAATGGCTGCGGACCACGTGTCAAGGCGGAAAATGGCCACGGGCCACGTGTCACGGGAGGGAAAATGGCCGCAGACCACGTGTCACGGGCAGAAAAATGGCTGCGGACCACGTGTCAAGGCGGAAAATGGCCACGGGCCACGTGTCACGGGAGGGAAAATGGCCGC